ACTAAACAACAACATAATTTCACACTTACAGAAGATCTTCCTGCCAAGGAGGGAGATAAAGATAACAATAAAGCTCTCTGCAGGCATTATCTAACTGAGCCTAATCACACCCCTACAAGGACAGTTAGTTGTTATGGTGTTTTCTGCACTGACCACGTCAAAGGAAAACAAATAGATTTACACCTCAATAGCTGACTGTGAGTTGGCAAGTTGCTAGGAATACTGCCCTCGAGTCCTGACCCCCTTTATCTTTGCTTTCACAGCTGGATCACTGAAGTATTATCTTGTGTGGAATCAACCCAAGTGCAGAAACAAGAAATATGAACCAGCTCAAATATTTTTCTGAAAGTTACAGCAAGACTTTCATTAATAAGAACTAATAATATAGATGGTCAATAAGGAGGGAATTTAGGTAGTCCTGACCTCCTTTCCCACCTCATGTCCCTTGTCCCTTGAGCGTGGGGGACATAGTTCTCCATAGACAATTCCAGACAAGGTGTGATGGGATGGTTTCTCATACAATTAGGAATTTAGAGTTTTTAATACTATGATTCATTCAATTTCTTAATGTTAACAGCTAAATGGTTTTCCTTTTTTCCTATCAAACTTGTACAAAGCAGGCAAGTACCCTCAACTCCATGTTAACAATGGAGACAGTAAGCCAAGGACGCAAAACGACGTAATGATCCGCCCCCCAGCCACTGCCAGAGTGGTGAGAATGAACCTAAGGGTCAGGAAGCTTAAGGTAGAAGACCAAAAAAACCTAAACATACAAGAGATGCTTTACGCATCCACGTAGGTAAAAAAATAAATTCATAAAGGACTAATAAGAACGTATGGAAAAAAAAAAGCCTGCTGTAAATCTAAATTCAGAGGAAGACCATTCAATGGTGAGCAATTACAGCAATTAAGGCTGGTGCTGGATTTGATGCATATACCCTTAGCATGGCAGATGGAAATAAAAGGTGAAATGGGAAGAAAGGGATTTTTATCCACCACAAATGTGAATCCCCAAAGCCTCAAAGAGTTTTGAACATAACAAGCTATTAGACTCATTCCTTCTGCTCCATACACTTTGCCTGGACACTTTATACCACTTTTTCTTGGTCTTCCAAGTTATACTTCCTCTGTATTTCTTCCATTGTTTTTCTCAGTCAAATCTCATTCAATTTAAAACATCACTGTGGCATCAACTATTAATGTTTCTTACTTTTACCTTTCTGGTGGATTCTGTTATGTGTTATGCTTTTTACGACTCTCTTATCTCTCTTCTTTTAATATACCAATAATCAGGTTGTGATTTTTGAAGGTGTTTACAGACACTAGAAACATAAATCATGATGGCAATCGTCAAGCACTAGGCATTTTAAGCCTTTTCAGTTTCTCTGACAACCTTATCAGGGCATTTGAAAGTTGAAGAGTAACTCACCAGACTGATGTCTCTTGAAGCAGGCATACACCAGCCTTCCCAAACTCTACCTGCACATGGCAATTAGAAGGCCATCAACTGAGCCTTTTGTAAAGCAAGATGGTATACCTTAAGAGATATACCCTGTTCTTTTATATTTAAACTAAATTAGAACATTTTCTGAAGTTTCCCTTTCACTAAAGTACACCCAAACAAAGTAAAAAGGAAACACACACACAAAATACTAACAGCCTTTACCACAAAAATATGGTGTTAGACTTGTGGAATAAAGGAAAAGGTATACTGAGCAAGCCCATACATATATTTACTTACACTCATAACTCAATCCCAGATAGCAGAAGGAACAATTATCTGCAGAAAGACCAGACCTCTGGGCAACTGGGAAGAGCCAAAATTGCCTCTGCGGGAAGGCTCTGAAAATTCCTGACAGATTCGGGTTACCGTCTTGGACATCCTCCTAGGAGCCTTTCTTGTGGAAATGATCCTCCAGAAACTTTGTAACGGATGCTGAGTATTAAAAGTCCACTAACTTTTGACTGGATTCCCTCTAAGGCTCAACACTCAATGTTACACAATTTTGCCCTACCCTGTCACAGATCCTGAGGGCAAAATTTTTTTGTAGCATCAGGACAGGGGTGAATAAATACAGATGCTCTCTATACAAGGGAAAAGAAAATCATGCAGAAAAACCCCTCTGTTTTTCACCAAAAATATGTTCTGCCATAACTAAATCTGAGGAAAGGCTGATATGGAAACAACTGACAATGGATCAGAATTAATCTCTCACTGAAGTAATATAAATGAGACAAGCATGACTTTCTGAGCTTTTAAAAGTACTTCTGAGCTGTAACATATTTTTGCTACAATAATAAAAAAGTCAGGCTGTCCAAATAATTGAACACCAGTAGTTCCATGGTAATTTTGCTCTTCGAAATACCATCTCTTCCAAGTTCTTCTATGGACTTCTCTAGCATATTTCTTGACTTTTTACTCTCTCTAAGGGATCATTTTCAGAAGTTCCTTTTAGCTCATTCCATAGCTAGTAGCTTTTTACCCATTTAGAATTACACACCATTTCATTTTGGGAACTGTATAATGTTCTGCATTTAAATCCAAAGAGTTAAGCCCTCCCCTACATTAGCCACCTAATCCCAAAGTAGCACATTAGGGATCAAAAGCGATCAGTAGTATACCAGTTTAGCTATTTTAGTCATTTTCCCATTTAGATGTTTTACCTATTTCTTTACCTTGTGGTCCCTTTTGAGTGATATTTTACCTGTCTCCACACATCTGGATTACATCTCAGTTTGGTCGGATTGCTACACATACTGAAGTAAGAGCTTTTGTAGATGTGTTACCATGTTTGAAACGTACATTAGCAAAAAAAGTAACGATGTATACTCACACATCATAGTTTCCCTTTAAGCTTAAACCTGTTCTGAGTGGTAATCATGCCAATTTTACTGAAAAGTAAACTGAAGCATAAAGCGATGGTGTGACTTACTCAAAGTCACTTGGGAATTCTTTATCCAGCTCTGGGATCCTCAATATAAGGAGGACATTGACCAGTTGGAACAAGTCCAGAGGAGGCCACAAAGATGCTCAGAGGGCTGGAGCTCCTCTCTATGGGGACAGGCTGAGAGAGATGGGCTTGGTCAGCCTGGAGAAGAGAAGGCTCCGGGGAGACCTTATTGCAGCCTTCCAGTACTTGAAGGGGCTACAAGGAAGCTGGGGGGGACTTTTTACAAGGGCCTGTAGTGACAGGACAAGGGGTAACAGGTTTAAATAGAAAGCAGGGAGATTTAGATTAGGTATCAGGAAAAAATTCTCCCTGGAGAGGGGGGTGAAGCACTGGAACAGGTTGCCCAGAGAAGCTGTGGATGCCCCATCCCTGGAAGTGTCCAAGGCCAGGCTGGATGAGGCTGAGTTGAGCAACCTGGTCTAGTGGAAGGTGTCCCTGACCATAGCAGGGGGGTTGGAACTGGATGGTCTTTAAGGTCCCTTCCAGCCCAAACCATTCTATGATTCTATGATTATGTAACAAAATGGAAGCAAACTCAAATGCCTCATGGCATCCACCTGCTCAGGATAACACAGCACTCACAGGACACTCATGCTTTACTGTAGCAGCAGCTGGAAACACAATAGGATAGTCCACAGCACCTCACATGGCATCAGATACTTCTGTTTTGCATACTTGTGCATAAAGTGAGGTGCATACTTATGTTTATAAACTGGAATTGCTTCCTAGACCTCCTAAGCCAACTCTAGTTTATTCAATAGGCAACATTCTTTCCAAAATAAAGATAATTTTTCATCATTCAGATAGCGTTTGAAACTTATTCCTTATTTACAGTAGAAATCTTCTAGAAATAAAAGTGGACTGAGATATAGCCTTTTCTGGTCATCACAATACAGGACGGTGCCTAGCCAATCGGAAAGTCTTCAGAGACATTTTTTGGCAACAGAAGTTTTTCAATTATATCCCCTGGAGTTTTATGCATTTCAAATAATTCTCTAGCTTCAGTTGAATTTATAATAGATGTTGCATGTCTTTGGCTCCATGTCCAGAATCCTTGTGCCAAATTAGACTCTGAAAGAATCTGAGGGTTAGCTGTTTAAAATGTTAAAGACAAGTTTTTTACTTGTTTTTCTATTTAGACTCATGTAATAGAGGTGAATAAAAAAAACACAAACAAAAACAAAACACCACAGAAACCAATAGTCAAATGAAAATAGAAAATATCATAAATTATAAATTTTAATTCTTCATGTAGCCCTCTTTGTTCAGCTGTACTTAATATAGGACCCACTGACCACACAGTAGTAACATCTGTATATCAACTGGTTGACCAGTTCAGGGACATAGTGTAGCTTTGGTTCCAAATAGAACCTCACTGTTAAATTGAGTTTTAAGTATTTGTGGAGCATTCTCTCTGCATAAAAATGTCCAAGGTAGCCTTCTCAGCCCATGACAACTGATGTTAGTAACCCCATGGAACCACGCTAACCACCTTCTAATCCCCCATCAGTCCTTGTTCCACCAGCTACCATTGAAAGGGCATCTCTCACTTCACATAATATAACATCATCCCTTTTGGAAAATACCTTCTCTAGAGTCTTTAAATTTATTTATCCCAAATTCTTGCAGCAGCTATACTTTGAAACATCTTTGTGTGATTAGGTAATTTATATTCTCAGTTAGCTTCCTCAGTAAGACAAGTGCCAGTTATATCAATTATATCTTAATTAACAATAAAATACAGAAGTGGAATTGTGCAGTCTTCACAATTATGTTCACAGTGTTGTTATGGCACTTCATCATTACTGCACATGCAGAAACACCTTGCAGGACTCCTGACTACCAATAAAGAATTAGCTTTCAAGATTTAAGCAAACATTAGAAAATATTTCTCTTACAGTAAATTCATTAAAAAAAATAGTAAATTATTTTAAAAATTCTTCTGCAGTGTAGCACTAATACATTCTTAAAGAATAACATTTTCTCCTGTGAAATAGAATGCGTATTATTTAGAGGAAAACAAAAGAGAGAAAGAAGCAGCATCTTTACCCTCCGCACATCTTTGCCAAATGTTTCGCTGTAGCTAGTGCCCAGTATTTCAAACTGGACATAGGGGTTGGCGCCATCTTCTCTGAACTCCATAACACCAGTAAGCCCAGTTATATGGCCCTAAGGAAATAAGTTTCAGAAATTTTAGAATAGAATGAATCTGTCTTTATAAACACTACTCTTCACGAAAGGTATGCCAAATCTGCTTTGAAGATGTGAACCTAAATGTGGCAATTCCGTGTTCTTCAATAGCTCAAACATAGCACCAGATAAATACTATTTTTTTTAATTAATTTTTTTGAGCCTATTACTTTAGGACTAACACATCCACAGTAGATTGTGGAAAAAAGTCAGGAGGTCATCATCATTCACAGAGACAGACCCCAAAGAAAAGGAGAACAACCTTGGTGGACTGTACGACAACAGCCCTGTAAGTGTAACTGAGGGCAGCAGGTTCTGTTCTGGGGTTGAATACAAAGGCATGAACCCCAAGTCCAAAACAAAGAGTATGCCTGCTGTGTTACCAGGAGAGGCATGAAGAAAAGATCAAATTTTAAGTATTATTAAGACCTCTCTGATAAAGTAGCATGGAGTTTGATTTTGGGCTGGTAGCAAAGCAGCTTGAAATGACACTAAAGTTTGAATTAATTTAGCAACAAAGGATGGCAACACTAGGATCAGTCAGAGCGTAACAGCACACTTGATCAAATTGCATCATTTTACTAGAGAAAAAACATTTCATCTATACAGGGGGAAACAGGTTTTATTTATGAATAATTGCTAATGGCAGTATAGTAAAAAAATCAGTATTTTTTCCCAATAGTATTTGTGATCAAATAACTTTCATGCAAGAAGTTACCGTGCATCTGCAAAGCCACAGCACAGTCCATATTTGAGTATTCAACATGCTGCAAGACAGTGTAACTGTCAGTGACAACCTAGCTAAATCAGATCCCTTCTGCTCTGGGCTACAGTACACAAACAGACACTAACCAATGCTCAGCTAACCTATGAAGCCAGTTGAGCTGTAGTAAATGGAACATAAAAGTCTTAAACCTTACTGTTGGTTGGCCCCTTGAGCTCCTGAGTTCTTCCCTTGGGGAAATTATTAGGATGCATTCACACATCAATTTGTATGACTATTCCTAATCACACTACCTCCACAGAAGGCAGCTATGAGAACAAGAGAAGCAGAACACACACCGCTGAACAACACTGCAGTGTGTGTAATTGTTTGTAATAAATCATTTGCTTGTTTAATAGCTGTAGATCATTCCTGGTAGTTGTAAATCACTTGATTTAATAAGTAAAAGAAAAATTGAAGAGGTCAAAATCTCCCAAACAGAAATGAAGCAACTCTTGGTTTGTCTACTCTCACCTTCTTAATAGTCTCGAGCATGGATCGTCCTCCATTCCAGGGTTTGGTGGATTTCCTCATGCAGTTCAGGCTTGCCATGCTGTGCCATTTCCTGTCCTCCAGTTTTCTGTGGAAAGCATTGGCCAGCATGAGCACACTGTCATACAGGTACAGGTTGGAAACCTGCAAACAATAATAAGAATGAGCCTCATTCTTTATACAAGCATCCTTTTGAAGAAGCTGCAAAAACTAGCAAAACACAACCAAACCAAACCAAAACGAAAGAAGACATAAGTGAAAACTAAAAGCTGAGCATGTTTGACGTGTTCAACCGTCAAAGCAATTTAGACAAATAAAACAGACCAGTGCTCGCTCCCACCCCTCCTTTCCTGCATGGCACCTGGGCCCTTCTGGCGAAAGGACTCAGGCACACTTGCACTGCCTGGCCATTACCTAGAGCACTGCAATGCAGTGCTGTACAGACATAAGGGATTGCAGTTCAAATACAGACTCAAGCTACAGAAGGGGTAAGCTATCTATCAAACAGAAGACAAGGATTGCTGCTTTGTCAATCCCTTCAGCAAGGAGAAAAATACAGAATGGAAATAAGTTCTTGTTCTTTTTGTTCATTTGAGCAATCTCCTTGGTACTTTCTGGCACAGCAAAATACTAATGCAACTGTTGAGAACAGAGGAGAATTGACAGTATTATTTTGGTCTTATCATCTCTCTCCACCAAATATACAGGAGAGTGGTTACTATTCTACTTTCTCCTGAGCTATTGATTTTAGCCTCCTTATTTTTCAATTTACATGAGAGAGAAAGAGAACAGTAATTGACAACAAAGACTCTAGTAAGAACACCATACTAGTAATACTCAACTATGTATTTCATTTTTCAAAACAAGAACACAGGCAACAACACAAGATAAGATCTTTGACATGCAGTGATAGCCTCAAAAAGCTCAACCTTAGCAGTGGAAGTTGGCTGAGAAGTGATATAAAAACAATTAGATACCACCCAATTGTTTACAGAGTTTACCCGAACTCTTCTTCAACCTTTGCACAGATTTGGGATTACTGATCTACTCTTTACTAAATTCAAATCTCCAATTAGCCTCAGTTCCCAGAAACAGCTTTTTAAAAATTATTATTAAAAAGATATTCTCCTAGCTGAAGGATTTACTTATGGTGAGCCACAAATTTGCCATTTATTTTTTGGATTTCTCTAATTCACCATAACAATGATGCCTAGAGACCAGAAAAGGGCTACATGCAGAAGTTAATGCAGCTGCATACTTTCTATGAAAATGTCACTGGGCTGTGAAAGCTTAAACATATATTACTGTTGCATCACTGGCTCCAAGTAAACTTCTGATATCTTAAGATTCTGATCTTCAGAAACAAAACGTTTCATATTAGATAATCTGGAATTTGACATAAGTTGACAACCTAGGCACTTCGAAAAATGTTCTGAGTAAATCTGAAAAAAATATATATTAACAAAAATCCATTTTGTAATAATCAAAATAGGAAGAAAATACACAAAGAGATGTTGAGGATACCCACTTAAATAAGTGACTAAACATAAGAAGCCATCTTAATGTGAAAATAATGTAAAAACAGTGGGACACTGAGAATCTCTCCCATATGGAATTGCCAACTTCTTTCCCTTTTCTTTCCAGCCTTCCTGAACACATTCCCTATATTTGCTATTTTATCCAATCAATCTTTTTCCTTTTAAAACAGTTTCCAAAGTAGCTACTTTCCAGATTTCCTCTTTTTTAAAGAAAAGTAAGTAGTTAAAAGAGTTAGTAAGAGTCACAGAAAATAAGTCTCTTCTGCTCAGTTGTATTTGTGTCCTTACTCCGCAAAAATTTTCCAAACAACTTTCAAATAAAGCAACCAGGCAAATCCTTATTACTCAATTTTTTCTCTCCTGTGTTAAGTTACTTTCCACCAAAATGAAAAAGTAGAAACAAAATCCCAACCCCAAAAAATAAACCACCCCAAACCACACTAACTTAGAAGTAGATTTTCACATGGAAAAGGAAAAGTGCCTTTTCTTACGTGTCATCATGATCCTGTTTGCTCCCCACTGAATTTGATTTTACACTCTCACTTTTAACCGACAACTCATTGTCTGTTGCCTTGGAACTGCCAAAAATCAGAAACGCTTTGCATTTTCTCAGTTTGGCGCTGTTCTTTTTCAATTCTAGAAAACTGCAGCCTCATTCCCAAAAGCAGTTTCCTTGGTTTGCTAGCAGAGAGCTCTAGGGCAAGATATATAATGTACTTGGGTACACTGCTTTCCTTCTCTTTCTACTTTTTATGCTCTTAGAGAAGCCGCCACCGTTCTGCACGTACAATGGACTGAAAGCTTGAGAGAACTGCTTTTGAGGATCTTAGCCCACATGACCACGCATCCAACTCAAATTACCTTCTCCTATAGAGCAAAACAAAACCATCTATGTTTACTGGCCTAATCCTCATAAATCAGTTAAACCCAGAGCAGATTTTGTATCACTGTTGTTTCATTATTTTCTATTGAAAGAATGAGATATACTGAGTGACAGCAAGAAAGGGTCTGAACAAGAGGCGTTTCCCACTAATGTCCTTCTGTCATACATCTGAAGATACGTACCAAGGCAGAAGAAAATGTTGCAGATAACACAGCAAGTTACTTTTTGCCATGTAAAGAATATTCTGCACGCTCCGTTGTACACACTTATCCACTAGTATTCTACCACTCCAGTTCTCTTCTAGTGAAAGACTCATCCAAAAAATGAGTATATGGTACTTTTTAATGAGCAAAATTCCTTTTTTCATATAAACATACTCTGGGTATTTACTCCAGTAAAAACAGCACGCATACATCACTACATTTTGCTCCCTACTCACTGAAGAGACAATATCTGATGAAAGAGTAAGTTGAATTTTATTCACACAATCAATTCTTCTTTTATTTAGGACAGAAAATATGCAAGCTAGGAAAACTACAGCAGCAAAACCTCCACAACCAAGGCTAGATATGTAACATTAAAAAAAGAAAAAAAAAAATTTTTTTTAAATTGTATTTTTTCAGTCTGCCAGCCATTTAAGCCATAAATTAACACAAAATATGGAAGTCCACTCTAAGGGCAAAACCCTTTAAAACTTACAAAGCATGACTCAAAGCTTCTGGGTTTGCACAGTTATCAAACTTCAGTGTGTTTATTTAAAACAAGAAAAGGCAGGATGTTCATATGATAGAATTGTTTTGGTAGTCCTCTAGGTCAAGGGTCACTTCTTCGAAGTGCAAAAAATAATGAAGAAAAACCCCCAAAATACCCTGGTAACTTAAAAAATAATATCCTTCTGCTCCTTTCACAGTGTGGAGAGTAAAATCCAGAACTTAATAATATTCACTTTCTACCTGAACTCACTATTATCTATACATTTTCTTGAAAAAAAGATTATTAAAAACAAGACACACAAATTCTGGCCTAATCTCATAGTAAATCCAAGGCTAAAATGATTTTATTTATTTTCCATTAGTCATTTTAATACAGCAAAATCTCTGCATATGTAGTAGATTGTATTTGCAAAACGCGTTCACTGTAACCTCCAAAATAAAGGTGTGGTGAAAAAAAAAAGGGGTTCAACAGACAAAGCCTGTATACACTTGTTACTGCAACTGCACACGTATTTTAATTTTCAGCTAACTAGCCAACTCCCTCTAAATACAAACATGACAACTGAAAGGGAGCCTGTGAGATACCTGAGGGATCACCTACATCCTGTTTCCACCAGAGCTGCCAGAGGCATGAGAAAATAGTAGATTTAAAAACTGGTCTTCAGGTAGCACTCAGAACTGGTAGCAAAGCGAGAGAGAAGAAAAAACAAGGCACTGTGCTTGGCTACTTTGGGTTTTCCAAGCCTCAGACTATTTTTTATTTCCCCTATTTATACATTCACAGAGAAGGAAAGGACATATATCTGCTTGCAGGGATTCCCCTCCATATAATAAAAATTCCTAGATTAGAACAAAGTGTTTCATTTCTGTCTTGTTTGGAGGAAGAAAGAGCAATTTTCAGTTCCTCTTTCACATCACTGCTGAGATCTGTAAGAGCAGGAGGTATTGTGACTGAAATGCTTTTTGGTCTATCTGCTGTAACAATGATGGTGATTTGTTTCACCGATTCATTAAACAGTATGCCCTGTACATGAATAATTTTAGGCATGTTCTGGTATACCTTCTGAAAATCATTCCGGACTTTATGAACCGCTATTTTGCAAAGAAGCAAAAAATGACCATACACTAGTAGAGCAGAAATTTTCAGTGAGAATGGAAATCTCTTGTATCACATTTTTAAATGGTCATTTTACCATAGGTTTTTATGTGAATTTCATGAGAATTTCTAGAGTAATTTTACTTTTGAAGCTATATATGAAGATAGCTTTTATCTCCTTCAGAAGCACTAATCATAGAGAACTGCTCTTCTGGGAAGGTGAGCAAAGCCACAAAGACTGACCCCAACCTCTGGGTTGGCAGCAGAGCCGGAAGTCGAGCCAGACAGGACCGCTGAAGAGACTATCTGGGAAGACAAGCTGACACCCAGATGCCATTGCTTCAAAAACTCATTCCCAAGCTGGTCATCTGTACCCTGCCGCTGCCAAAATTGCCCCATGAGTGACCACAGCAGTCAGCTCCAAGGATTAAGCAGATGGAAGAGGAGCTCAGACCGAACGCAGCCTGCCAGCAGCAGAAGCACTTGCTGCCTGGGGAGCAATATCGCTGCACTTGCATATGCACACACCAGCGTGCCCTAAAACTGTGGTTCAACTTTCAGAGTTCAAGTACTGCCAAGAGCAGTTATGCACTTGTGTCTCTGATGACAGGATGCCTCTTCCTAGGAGCAGTGAGGACTCATTGTTTACGTATGGCGTAACGGCGTGCTTACAAGAATAGTGTTAGAGTGGAGAGACTGAAAATTTCACCTATTCCACTTTCTTAATTTGTTTGGGCCAGACTCCACTGTGAGACTTCGTGCGGATGCCTGTCTTTTAAATACACGCTTCGCTGCTCATGGAGAACAAAATCACAGCCGGCAGCCTGGCATTCGTCAGAAAACCAGAGTCAAAAAAACAAATGTTCATTAAAGACTCAAATGTCAGCTTCAACTTCGAAGGGCTATTTATTATC